TGGATTGTCCCAGGAGAGCTTAAAAGGTCTTATAAACTGAAGCCTTACAGCAAAATGTTCCTTTTCCAGTTGTCCTTCACAGAGGCCTTAAAATGAACACAGCAAACACCTGTGACCTGAAAATCCATTAGTTACTGGGATTTCCATGGCTTTGGAGCCATCAGTTTCTTAGGATCATGGAATGGTTTGGGTTGGAAGGGACCTTAAAGCTCATCCCATTCCACCCCCTGCCATGGGCAGGGACACTTTCCATAGCCCAGGTTGCTCCAAGCCCCATCCAACCTGGCCTTGGACACTTCCAGGGATGGGTTGTGTCCCTCTGTAGGATGAGTGCAGCCCTCCTTGCCTTGGTCTGGGCTCCCATGGATGTGGGATCTCCCCTTCCCTGCCTTTTCTGCCTCTTCCTCCCAGCTTCCCAGTGGTTCCCATCTCACTGAGAGGTTCCCTGTGTGTTTGGGCTCCATCCTCTCAGGTTCTTTAGCAACAGTGCTGAATTCCTGAGGAATTCCATTTGCCTTCTAGTAAATCCCATAAACACCACGGTCCCAAAAATGTGATTTATGGCAGCACTTTGGAACTAACAGCCTGAAATATTGACACCTTTCTAATTAACACTGAATTCAAGTGGCGTTTTCCAGAGAGGGACCTCAGGCTGCTGCTTTTCCAGGCTTAGAACAATCCATGTATCCTCAGGATGACCAGAACAAGTGCCTAAGAAAGGGGGATGTGCTGCAACTGCCTTGCAGGGAAGGTTTTTATGGATGAAATGTAACCCCTTGGGCATTTCTAGGATAAAACCTTCTGCCCCACTGGGTTGAATTTACTTCACCTGCGTATTCCATCCTCTCCCAAAGCACTTCCTGACAATTATCTCCTCATTTGTTCATTTAAATCTCTTCCTTGCTGGAGCAGGTGGGTTTTTTTCCACTTCCTTGTTGCTTTCCAGACACAAATTCCTTGTCAGTGCTGCTCCCTCTGCTCCTCAGCCAGGCTGGGATTCCATAATTCCCAGGTCCCTGGAATTCCATAATTCTCTGGTAGAGCACCATGATTCCATGTCTGAGCATCCCTGCCTCTTCCCTGTGGTGCCAGGGTTGATTTCCATGGCAATTAACCATGCAGAACACCGGGAATATTCCTGGAATCCCAGTGCTTTGCTCTCTCTGGAGCTCTCAGTTAACTGCCTTCAGCCTTTTCTGCCTTTATAAATCTGATGTGTCTGACTGGGAATCATGGAATTGGAAAGGTTGGAAAGTCCCAGCCCCATCCACTGTGTTCACCACTAAATCCTGTCCCCAAAGTGCCACATCCACATGTTCTGTGAACACCTCCAGGGCTGGGGACTCCACCACTGCCCTGGGCAGCCCCTTCCAGTGCCTGACCAGCCTTTCCATGAAGGAATTTTCCCTGACATCCAACCTGAACCTCCCCTGACACAACTTGAGGCTGTTTCCTCTCCTGTCCCTTGTTCCCTGGGAGGAGAGACCAACACCCACCTCCCTGCAACCTAAAGCAAAGAATTCCACAGGCAGAGTGTCCTTACCCAGGGTCCAAATGTTCCCTCGTGGTGCTCCAGCCCTCCCTTGTGTCACCACTTGGATTGTTGCCCTGCTGGATGTGCCCTGGGATGGTGGTGTGTCCTCCAGCAGGGCAGGGTGTCCCTGGCATCCTCAGGTGACCCCAGGGAGCTGCTTTTGGGAATAAAGTTCATTTGCCATGACCAAAGTTCCCTGTTGAGGTGGGGAGGCCCTGGCCCAGGTTGCCCAGAGAAGCTGTGGCTGCCCCATCCCTGGGAGTGTCCAAGGCCAGGTTGGAGCAGCCTGGGCTGGTGGGAGGTGTCCCTGCCCATGGCAGGGGGTGGGATGAGATGAGCTTTAATATCCCTTCCCAACCTATTCCATGACTCCATGGCCCTGCAGTGCTGGGCTGTGCCAAGGCTGCTGTCAGGGGTGGCTTGATCTAAAATGAGTTGGGGGACATAGAGTCCTGTCCAAAGGTGCTCAGGACTCCCCATCAACCACAGAATCCTCCTGGAAAAGTGGGAATTGGCCTTTTCCTTGGCAGTGTTGTCCCTGTGAGGGCTGTGGAGGCTCCACGGGTGTCCTGGCTGTGCTTGGAGAGGCTGCAGGGGAGGTGAAGATGTTCCATGCTGAGCTCTTTGTCTATATTTAGGGAGGGAGAGGAAGCACTTAACTCCCAGCTGCACTCACAGGGGGGAGAGCAGAGACAGAGAGTCCATCACATCCCGTTTCCTTCCTGCCTTGCAAGTCATTTGGAGAGTGGGACATGTCCTTGTTATCCTGGATCCGGAGGCAGCATCACGGGGCAAGGGGAGCACCAGCCTTGGGGAGCTGCTTGGAGCAAGGCCACAACATTCCCAGGGGATGGGGCAGATCCCCAGGTGGGGCCAAGCAGCCAAACAACCCCCCCAGTGCAGGTGTGAGCAGGGAATGTTGTGTTTCCTGCAGGTTTTCTACCTTTCCTGTGTCCCCTTCCAGCAGGAAGGTGGCTCTGCTGGGCTTGAGATTTGAGTTAATAACAGGAGATCTCTGTTGTGCTGCAGTAATCCTGGTTTGATCCACTGGAATTAAAACTGTCTGGATGCAGCCCTGGCTTAATTGGCAGAGGAGCTGCTCCACTTGGTGGAGGGGGGGGATTAAACCCAAATAAATCTGCAATAATGAAGCTTTTCTTTGCAATAACTCCCAGGGGCACAGGCTCAGATCAGGTCAGTTTGGGGTTGTTCCACTCTTTTGGGGAACACAATATTTATGTGGATAAATTAATCTAAGTAGGGTCATGTGGTGTTCAGAAAGCTCCAAACTTTTCCTTTTTCATGATTAGTTGCAACCTCAGGCTTGAGGGGGAAGAAATTAAGATTAAACTGGTTTTTAAGTTGCAGGTACAGGAGGAGAAGGTAATAATGGCCTTAAAGGGAAGGAGGGCATGGTTAGGTGGGATATTGGGAAGGAATTCTTCCCTAGGAGGGTGGGGAGGCCCTGGAATGGATTTCCCGGAGATGCTGTGGCTGCCCCATCTCTGGAAGTGTCCAAGACCAGGTTGGAGCAACCTGGGCTAGTGGAAGCCCATTATTGCCTTCTCATCCCTGCATCTGCAACCAAAAAACCAGCTTGATCCTAATTTCTTCCCCCTCAAGCCTGAGGTTGCTACTAATTGTGACAAAGGAAAAGTCTGTGACTTTTTGAACAGCACAGTGACCCCACTCAGATTCTGATTTCTCCACTACATTTCTCCTTGTTTTGCTGAGTGACTCCAGCTCTGACACTGCCACTGTAAGACAGAGGGAGCCTTAAATAATTGTGAGCCTTAATTAGGTGAGAAACTGTGGGTAATGATTCCCTGAATTGTTTGTTTGTCTTGGAGAGCTTGGCAGTGGCAGGTGCTGAGAATGCCCTGATTTATGAGCTGTTTATTCACCCCCGTGTGTGAGGGTGGAAAAGCTCCTTTGTTTATCCTCAGATCGGAATGGAGGAGTTCAGGACTCAGGATCGGTTTTCCAGGTGCCTCTTTGATGCTGTGCCCGCAGAAGTGGCCGACGGTGGGCACAGGGATCGGGAGCTGCAGTGGGATCTCCTTCCCATATCCCATATCCCACATTCCACATGGCATCACCTCTGCTCAGGCACCTCCTGCCCCAGGTCCCTGCAGTCCTGGATTGCTCCAACTTGGCCTTCGACACATCCAGGGATGGGGCAGCCACAGCTTCTCTGGACAACCTGTGCCAGGGCCTACCCACCCTCACAGGGAGGAATTTCTTCCCAATATCCCATCTAACCCTGCCCTCTGGCAGTGGGAAGCCATTCCCCCTTGTCCTGTCCCTCCATCCCTTGTCCAAAGTCCCTCTCCAGCTCTCCTGGAGCCCCTTTAGGCCCTGGAAGGGGCTCTCAGGTCTCCCTGGATCCTTCTCTTCTCCAGGTGAACCCCCCCAGCTCTCCCAGCCTGGCTCCAGAGCAGAGGGGCTCCAGCCCTTGGAGCATCTCTGGGGCCTCTTCTGGACTCTCTCCAGCAGCTCCATGTCCTCCCTGTGCTGTTCCCCAGGGCTGGAGCAGCTCTGCAGGGGGGTCTTACCTGAGGGGGCAGAGGGGCAGAATCCTCCCCTGCCCTCTGCCCACACTGGGGGATCAGCCCAGGGCACAGGGCTGGGTTGTGTCCGTGGCACGGGGTGGAACTGGATGATCTTTCAGGTCCCTTCCAGCCCAGGCCATTCCATGATTCCATGCTGAGCTTCTCATCCACCAACAACCCCAGGCCCTTCTCCTCAGGGCTGCTCTCCATCCTGCTCCACCCAGCTTGGATTTGGGCCTGGATTTTGCCCTGACCCAGGTGCAGGACCTTGCACTTGGCCTTGTTGAACTGTCATCACCCTCATTTGGGGTGGTGGCCACAGGCCATGTCCTCCTTCTGGGTGCTCTGGGTGGCACCAGCATCTCCTGGGGCTGTGCTGCTCCTGGTGAGCCACCCATGGCCGTGGGGTGAAGGGCTCCTTGTGAGCCCCCCCTTCCACCCCTTTGTGATCCATCACAGGTTGGACTTTGTGATCAACCTTAATGATTCTGTGATTCCACCCTGATTTTCCAAGGAAAAGAGCCAATATCAAGTCTCAGCTCTCTTTTCTGTGCTGGGTTTCTCTTAGGTGGCCTCAAGGCTCTCTGTGTAACCTGTTGGGAGTGCTCCAAACCCATCATGGGAATAATCTCAACGCCTTCCATGTCTCCCCACGTGCCTTCAAGGCTTTGCTGGATCCTCTGGATTGGGGGTTAATTGGTGTGACAGTTTGCTGAGTGTGACTGAATCAAATCTGGGGGGAGCAGAGAGTCTTCTGTGTGACCTTGTCACCTCCCACCTCCACAGGCCCTGGCAGGGCAACCCAGGTCTCCAGAGCTCCAGACTGGGAGCAGGTGGTTTTTGGCACCTGCTTTACAGGTGGCCTCACACAACACATCACCCACCTTGGCATGGAAAAAATGAGTTGGTTTCTGCCAAGGCTTCTTCCCCAGAGCTGTGACTCTGCAGTGTCCCCTCCCTGCTCCACGTGGAGCCCAATCCCAGCAGGAACGTGCTGTAATTCCAGAGGCAGCAATGGATGAGCACTAACCATGTTTGAGTGCGGGATTTTGCAGTTGTCAGCAGTTTTTCCAACCAAAAAAGCTTTTAGCTCTCGGGCACAAAGTCAAGTGCCACTTTAAATGCACAGCCATCAAGTTTGGGGAAAAAAAACAACCCACCACAACCAGGGAGCCAGGCTGTTTTCCCTCTTTTTTTTTTTTCCTTTGGATGAAATGCATAATAAGCTCTTAGCTCAGATAAATTCTAATTGAGGATTCAGTCAGGGCTGTGGCTAAATTAGCAGAGCAGGTCTGGGAGACAAATGCGGCTCCAGCCTGTCAGAAGAAGCAATTCTTCACATTCTCACGTGGAAAGAGGATTCGTGTCATTAAACCTCTTTATCCTCCCCCCTTCCCAAACACAGCCCCCCTACCCCTGTCAGGAATCACCCAAATCCATCCCAATCCCTGCTCTGATGCTGCTCCTGGGCTGTTTTTCCAGGCTGTGCTGCCCTGGAGTTGGAGACACATGATCCAAGAGGGAGCTGTGGTTGACCTTGGCCCTCAAGGGGCACCTGGGCATCAATCCCTGTTTACACTGTCCCCTCCAGGGCTTGTCCAGTTCTTTCAGGTGTAAGTGTCACCTGGGAACCGCAGACAGGCCTGGGAAGGCTTTGGGATGCTCCATGGGAGTGTTCCTCCTGGAAAGTGGGGCTGGAGGGGGGGTGGAATCCGGTACTTTGAAGGGTCCAGCAAAGCGTCCAACAGTCAAACCCTCATGGAAATTGTCATGGAATGGTTTGGGTGGGAAGGGACCTTAAAGCTCATCCATTCCCACCTCCTACCATGGGCAGGGACACCTTCCACTAGCCCAGGTTGCTCCAAGTCCTGTCCAACCTGGCCTTGGACATTTCCAGGGATCCAGGGGCAGCCACAGCTTCTCTGGGCATCCTGTGCCAGGGCCTCCCCACCCTCAGCCAAGAATTCCTTCCCAATATCCCATCTATCCCTGCCCTCTGTCAGTTTGAAGCCATTCCCCTTGTCCTGTCCCTCCATCCCTTGTCCCCAGTCCCTCTCCAGCTCTCCTGGAGCCCCTTTAGGCCCTGCAAGGGGCTGTCAGGTCTCCCTGGAGCCTTCTCCAGGTGAACCCCCCCAGCTCTCCCAGCCTGGCTCCAGAGCAGAGGGGCTCCAGCCCTTGGAGCATCTTGGTGCCTCCTCTGGACTTGCTCCAACAGCTCCACATCTTCCCTGTGCTGAGGATTCCAGAGCTGGAGGCAGCTCTGCAGGGGGGTCTCACAAGGGCAGAGCAGGGGGGCTGAATCAATTCCCTGTGGGCAAACAGCCCTCAGTGACTAAAGCTGTGAAAAAACCAGGGCTCCTGTGTCTGCAGGTGTTCTCCAACCCCAGGGATGAGGATATTCATCCACCTCAATTCCTTTTGGTTTCCTGGGAAGGCGGTTCGGGGTGGCTTTACCCCGGACCTCAGTGGGGCTACAGAGTTAAAACCAACAACAACTGGCATCAATTCAGCCCAAACCCATCTTGTCTTGGCAGAAATGTGGATTTGGTGCCTCCCATCGCTCCGTAACGTGTTTGTTTTCCCTCCAGTTCAAGGTGGATGGCGAGTGGTTCACCTGGATCGACTACGAGCGCTTCCAGGAGCTGGTGCGGGAGCGCGAGCGGAGCGGCGGCTCCAGGACCTTCACAGCGGCCGATTACATGGCCAGGACTCCTCCCTGGGCTCTCTTTGGGGCCAGGGAGCGGGGATTTGACCCCCTGGATGTCAGATTCCAGCGGAGGAACAAGGCACGGGACATCTCTGGCTGCTGAGTTTGGGGCTCCATGTCCGGCTGACACGGATTTCGGATCTTCCCGTCGATGTTATCCCACGTTTGCTGTTGAGCAGGAGGGTCAAGCCTTGAGTACACCCTTCCCTCCTGGTTTTAGGGCTTCCTGGATGAAAATATTTATAACATTCTCTCTCCCAAATCAGAAATGGTTCATGGCAGTGGTTTCTCAGCAGCCTGGTGGGGAGGCGCCGGCCATGGTCGTGTTTGGAGTTGGATGTGGTTTGGAGTTGGATATGGAGCAGTTGGATGTGGTTTGGAGTTGGATATGGAGCAGGAGCATTCCTTGGATTCCAGTGCCCTCTGTGAGGAGAGCCTGGCACATCTGGCCCCCAGCTTGGCAGCAAAACCTTCCACATCCACGAGGAAAAGTGCCACAGGGATTTCAACCCCACGAGCTTGTTGGATCAGGGCAGGTGGGACCTGGATCAAAGAACCTGATCCCTGCTGGGAATATCATTGTATGGACTTAGTTCAGGTTTATGTATTTAATTCCTGTAAAAACCTCATCCCATCCAAGAAACTTGGGAATAGTGTGAGTAACAGCCCCCCTATTGATACCAGCTGTGACTTCTGATACCTCTCCAAGTATCTTCCAACTTCCTGGGTTTGGGAATGGATGTTTCTGAGCAGTGTTATCCCACTCCCAGCAGCCCTGAACAACATGTACAATCCCTCAAAGCCCTGGCTGTGTGTGCCCAGTGCCCATGGGAGCTGGACATCAGGGATGGAGCTCCCCCTGCTCCCCTGGGAAGCTCCACAGCCTCACTGCTGCTCTGGATGGGGAGAACGGGGTGGAGAAGGAAACTGGACCCAATCTCTGGGGCTCTCTGGGGTCAAGAAACCAACTCCTCTCCTTTGGAGAGGTGACATCCAGGCACAAGGTCAGGGGTTGCTCTGGGATACCCTGGGCACTCTGGAGGTGCTGGAGCCTGGCTGGAAAATGGCTTTTAAATAAGGAGGGAATTCCCTTTCCCTCTTTGCTGCATCCCCAAGGGTTGGAGGCTCTGTGTGCAAACCCCCTGGCACATTCCCGGGCCTTCAGTTCCCAAATGGCTGAACCAGGCAAAGCTCTGCCCCTTCCCAAGTGGCTCCCACCCCTCTTCCATGGCTCCCACCCGTGGGCAGCCCCTCCTCCCTCAGGGCTCCAGGTCCTCCCTGGTGCTGCTCCAGCCAAACCCTTCCTAGGAATGGATGGAACCAGCAGCAGGAACAGCTTTAATTCACACCCAGGGCTGGAGGTGGGACCACACCTCAATCCTGCTCAGGGGGGTTTGTTTCCCTGTGGAACTCCAGCAGCTTGGATCAAAGGTGTTCCCAGCACTCCCACCCTAAACCTTCTCATCCCACGGAGCTGTGGATGCTGAGAGTCCCTGGGATGGTGATTTTCTTTCTTTTTTAAAAGCAAGGCCGTTTCTTAGGCTGTAAAAAGTGTTTCTAAAGAAAAAAAGGGAATAAAAGTACTTTTGCCTAGAGCGCCTTTGGTGTGTGGCTGCTGTGCAAGGCTTTGTGAGAGGGGATAGTAAATTGATTTTAAGGAGATCAAAAGCACAAATGTGGTGTAATATCTCCTTTATAGGACGTAGAGGGGAAGGGGGAGCATTGGTGTGTCTGTGGGTGAGGGATGCCCTTCCTGGGGCAGAAAATGTCAGAAATTTCAGAAAAATCATAGAATCCCAGGATGGTTTGGAAGATGCAGGATGCAGGAATTGAAATCTATTAAGTACAGTTTTGCTTTCTGAGCTTCAGAAAAGATTAATAGACAGTAAAAATATAAAAGAATGTGTGAGCTGGGCAACTGATGGAGTTGTACAATCCTGGGATGGTTTGGGTTGGAAGGGACATTAAATCTCATCTCATTCCCACCCCCTGCCATGGGCAGGGACACCTTCCACCAGCCCAGGGTGCTCCAAGCCCTGTCCAACCTGGCCTTGGACACTCCCAGCCACAGCTTCTCTGGGCAACCTGTGCCAGGGCCTCCCCACCCTCACAGGGAAGGATTCTCCCTGATCCTCCCTGTGTCTCCATGTTCCCTCCATCTTCCTTGATCCTCCCTGAGTCCTCACACTCCCTCAATCCTTCTCCCATGTCCTCCCTGTTGTCCTTCTATTCTTCTCCTTGGTTTTGCCTGTGTCCTTATGCTCCCTCCATCCTCTCCCTGTGTCCCCATGTTCCCTTCATCCTCCCTGCTCCTCCTCATGTCCTCACATTCCCTCCTATCTCCATGTGCTCCCTCCATCCCTCTCCTGATCCTCCCTCTGTCCCCATGTTCCCTTCATCCTTCTTGATCCTTCAGTGTGTCCTCACACTCCCTCCATCCCTCTCCCATGTCCTCCCTGTGCTCCCTCCATCCCTCTCCTGATCCTCCCTGTGTCCTCACACTCCCTCCATCCTCTCCCTGCTCCTCCCCACTGTTTCCCAGGGCTCAGAGGGACGAGGTGTGTGACCTCCTGAGGTCAGTGCCCAGCATTCCCATGGGAATTGGCACCTGAGCTGTCCTAGAAGAACGGTGCTTTCCCTGCCCTGGTGCCAGGCAGGGTGGAACCAGGGCCACATCCCTTCTGCCTGCCCCTCCTGGGGGGCAGCTGGCACCTGCAGGCTGCTCCCAGAGCACTTTGGGCAGGATTCACCCCTGCAGTTCCTCTGGAATTACCTTGAGCTCAGGGAAAATCTTCCAGCACAGACACCCCCGTGATCCTCCTACACAGGGAGTTCCCAGATGGACAATTTCCAAGTCCCCATCTCTGCTGTTCTGGGGACACACTGAACTGGAGCCCTGGTGGGGCTCTGCTGAGCTCTGGGATCGTGCTCTGGATGTGCTGGGAATGGGGGGCTTTGTCCTCTTTCCAACACCTGGAATTGCTTCTGGCATTTAGAACAGGTTGGCTCTCACTCCTGGGGTTGGGGGGGGGGGGGGGCCTCCAGAGGGAAACTTCAGTGGAATGAGATGTACCTGGGAAAAAAGTGGTTTTGTTTCAATGAGGAGTTTTCTGTTCTGCCAAAGGTCAGGGAAGGATCCCAGATGGGAAGAACCTCTCCAGTGTCAGGGTTGCAGGATCAGCCCATCTTGTGATGCTCTAAATAAATTTGGCTTAATAATTGGGGAATTCCAACCCATTTTCCGTAGGTTTCCATCTGGATCATAGTCATCCTTCAGTTTATGGTGCTGCTGGGGGTGTAGGGGGTCCCCATCCCCCTTCCTTCCCCCAGTGCTGCCCAGGAGATTCCCAAAAAACTCTCCCCCTTCTGTTCTGGGGGGTTTTACCCAAAGCCAGGGCACAACGTTTGTCCTGGTGCCACTTCCAGCAAAGTGGGACCTGTTGCTTCAATACCCGACCTGGAACCTCGGGAAGTTCCATCCTAAGGGCAAAACGGGCCAAAATTGGTTTAACCCCTTAAAAGCAGGGAGAACTGGAGAAGTCCTGTGCCCAAATTCCTGTGCCTGCTCCTGTTCCTCCTTCCCTGGCACAGCCTGGATCCCTCCGTGCTGCTCCTGCTGCTGCTGTTCCTTGACTCAGGGCTGAGTCACTCGGGGTGGGGGGTGTGTTTCGCTTTGGAACGAGGATAAATAGATTTGTTTCCCAAAAATCTCCAGCAGGAAAACATCTCCCCCCTCCCCCCCCGAACAGAACCGTCATCCATCAGCTTTGTCTTCAGCTGGCTCGGCTCCTGAATCATTGATGATGTTACAGCCGCTGCTGTGCCCCGAGGGGGGGAGGAAAAAGATCTGGGAATTAACGGGAGGAAGGGCATCGTTCTCACTTTATCAAGCGCAGGCTGAGCTGAGCCGGGGGTTGGCAGAGGGGACTGAGCCAGCCCTGAGAACTTGTGCTGCTCCAGAGCTCCCCGTGGGGAAAGGGAGGCGGTTAATCCCGGGGGAATATTCCTAAGGAAGCCCCTGAGTTTTCCTGGGGGTGGGAGCTCAGCAGTTCGCTCTCCCCCTCCTCTGTGTCCTCCCTTCCCGCAGCTGGAGGGGGCAGGAGCTCCTGGGGGTCATTTCCAGCAGTGATGGGACATTTTAGGAGGAGGAGGGACCCCCAGCCAGGCTAAACCTTCACCCCTAAAATCCACGGAGCAGCAGCACGATTGGAGCCAATGGAACATGGAGTGGAGGGGGGTTTATGGCTGTCTCCAGGGCCCCATCCCTGGTGCCAACCTCCCCTCCCACTGTGGGGCACAAGCCCCCGAGGCCACATCCTGCACCTTCCCAGAGCAGGGCCACCATCCCTGGTGCTTGGACAAATCCCAGCCTCTCCCTTCATCCCAAAGCCTTCCTCTGTCATCACTTGGAAAGACTGAGGAAGATGAGCTTTAAGGTCCCTTCCAACCCAGGACATTCCATGATTCCCTGGGGATGGTTTCTGCTTCAACGATGCATTTCCCCCTTCTCCCATTTCAAGGTGGGCTCAAATCCCTTGGGAGCTGCTGGGATGGGTTGGTGCCTCTCCTGGGCTGCCCCAGCCATTGCACAGGGACCCGTGGCGTCTTTGAGATTCAAATCTCTTAAGCCAAAAAACCTTTCTCCGGACAGATCAAAACTGAGGAGAAGGTTTGCAAGAAAATACTCCTGCCAAAACAAAAAAAAAAGAAACACCCGAAAACCTTGAAAAAATTCAGAATTCAGCAATTCTTTGGGAAAAAAAAAAAAAAGTGGTTAAATCCTGATGGGAGAAATCCCCCCAAATGTGATGCTGTGTTTTTGCTCCAGTGGAGCTCCCTTGACCAGCCAGGGACCAGTCCCTGGTTTGCAGGTGGGTTGGAAGGCACCTGCCATCCCAGCTGGGTGACATGGGGACAAGGGAAGTGTCCATTCACCTCCTCCAGTCACCTGCACCAGGAGGAAACCCCAAAAAAGGAGAAGCTGGGAGGATCTCCAATCCCAGGAGATGTTCTCGTGCCAGGAAGTGTTCATGGGAACGTGGCAGAGGTGGCACTACCCACCTCCAACAGCAAACCACTGGGTTGAATGAATTCTCAGCATCCCGGTTGCTGAGAAGCTCCACGTGGCCCAGCTGAGGGCTCTGGCAGCCCCAAAATCCACCTTGTCCTAAAGGGGAGGGGGGGGAATCTCCCCTCTGGCCCACTCAGGTGAGACCCCCCTGCAGAGCTGCCTCCAGCCCTGGGGAACAGCACCAGAAGGACGTGGAGCTGTTGGAGCGAGTCCAGAGGAGCCCACAGAGATGCTCCAAGGGCTGGAGCCCCTCTGCTCTGGAGCCAGGCTGGGAGAGCTGGGGGGGTTCCCCTGGAGAAGAGAAGGCTCCAGGGAGACCTGAGAGCCCCTTCCAGGGCCTAAAGGGGCTCCAGGAGAGCTGGAGAGGGACTTTGATGGGTTGGAAGCCACGGGGGACAAAGGACCCGTCCATTCACCTCCTCCAGTCTCGGGCAGCAGGAGCTGCCCCATCTCCTCCAGCCTGTCGCTCTCTGGCTTTTCCCATCCCCGGGATTTTTTTTCGGGATGCTGATAACAACACATTCCTCACCTCTGGGGCAGCCTCTGGGAGCTCAAGGCGGCTCATCCTCTTTGCCGGGGGCTCAGATCAGATCAGCCGCTTAAACCATCTCAGCGCTAAACACGCGTTATTTGCCAAACCCAGGGAAAGCATCAGGGACGGGAATAATGAGCTGTTAAACGAGCAGCCCGCGCTGCCTTTCCCCGTCCAATCATCCACAGCTCCCCCCCCTAGGTGTCTTTGGCAAGCGGGAATTTCTCCCCTGGATGGGACTGGGGGAGGGTGGGAGGATGGAACCTCCCTGGAGGTTGGTTCCCCCATAACCAAGAAAAGGGAAGTTTTGCAGGGAAATGGGGTTTGGGGTAGGTTTTGCTGGTGGTGTGTCCTGACCATGAGGCTCCATAAAACCCCTCACTGCCAGAAGGACATTGAGGAGCTGGAGTGTGTCCAGGGAAGGGAATGGAGCTGAGGAAGGGGCTGGAGCAGCAGGAGCAGCTGAGGGAGCTGGGGGGGCTCAGCCTGGAGAAAAGGAGGCTCAGGGGGGACCTTCTCACTCTTTACAACTCCCTGGAATGAGGGTGGAGTGATATTCCAATAACCAAGTGTCTCAAACTGATGATTGTCTATAACTTGAACCCTGTAAAACCTAAACAAGCTCTGTACAACCAACTGTGCCTTTCTGAAGTGGTCCTGGGTATTTAGTTATTTATTATAAACCCGGGTTTACATGTTATTTTTATAATCTCTTCAGAGTGGGGAAGGAGATTCTCTGTGTGTACTGACAGCCTTTCCTGGGCCCCTGACCCAGCCTGGGATGTGCTGAGCTGCCTTTGGAAGAGGCTCTGCCAGCAGGAACCAGGAGTGATGGGGCTGCAGCTGCTGCAGGGGGTTCATTTGGGGCTCACTCTTGTTGCAAGGGGATGGGCAGTGTTTGTGTTCCAGATCCCAGACGGATCAAAGCCGTTCCTTATCCCACTTCCCCGGCTCACCTGC